ATCTTAATAATAATAAAAAATAATTAAATAAAATAATAATAATTAAATTTATTTAATATCATGATAAATATTATTTGATTATTATTTTCTTTCTTTTTGAATTTTATTTATTTATTATGGTTGTTTTTTCTTTTTCAATATAATTAAACTTTTTTCAAACAAAACTTTCTATAGATTTAGAGACAGAAAAAGTGAGAGATAGAGAAAGAGATAAAATAAATTTTTAATTTAGTGATAGTTTTTTGTTAAGGTTTTAGCTTATTTTCCAATAATCAAATATGGACATAAATATTTTCATTATTTTTTTTTTGTTTGGGGCTGAGGAAGAAGAGATTTTTTTTAAATTATTTTTTTGTGAAAAATATTTTTTTTTGATATTTTGGTGTATTTGTAACATATTGCTAATTTTAATTTTTTAGAAAAGTTGTGGGAAAATGTTTTCAGAAATTTGTCAATAATTGAGTATTTAATAAGTGTGTGTGTGTGTTGTTGGGGTTTTGAAATATTGTTTTCTTTTTATATGATACACTAATTAGTTTTAGTAAAAAGAAGACTACTAATAATGTTTTGTTGTTGTTGTTTTTTAAATTACTTAATTTATATACATATACAAAATATCATTATCCTAACATCATATCAGTTTTAATAGATATCAGGTTTTTTTTTTGTTAAATATTTTACAATATATTTTTTTTTCATTTTTAATAATCTTTATTTTGTTTGAAAATTTTCTTTTTTTATGTAAATAAGTTTTATTTAAAATTTCGTTTAAATTCAATATCAATTTTTTAATATTCATTGAATATTTTTTGTTCTCTCTATCTAAATAGACAATCAGGCATGGAACATGTATTACATTATTACTTTTTGATATCGAAAAATTCTGCTGCGCTAGACTGTAGTCTGGTGTATAGCCTAGTCTATAGTCTAGTCTAGTCTAGTCTATAGTCTAGTCTAGTCTAGTCTAGTCTAGTCTAGTCTAGTCTAGTCTAGTCTAGTCTATAGTCTAGTCTAGTCTATAGTCTAGTCTATAGTCTAGTCTATAGTTTAGTCTATAGCCTAGTCTATAGTCTAGTCTATAGTCTAGTCTATAGTCTAGTCTATAGTTTAGTCTATAGTCTAGTCTATAGTCTAGTCTATAGTCTAGTCTATAGTCTAGTCTATAGTCTAGTCAATAGCTTAGTCTATAGTCTAGTCTATAGTCTAGTCTATAGTCTAGTCTATAGTCTAGTCTATAGTCTAGTCTATAGTCTAGTCAATAGTCTAGTCTATAGTCTAGTCAATAGTCTAGTCTATAGTCTAGTCAATAGTCTAGTCAATAGTCTAGTCAATAGTCTAGTCTATAGTCTAGTCTATAGTCTAGTCTAGTCTATAGTCTAGTCTATACTCTAGTCTATCGCCTAGTCGATACTCTAGTCTATAGTCTAGCCTATACTCTAGTCTATAGCCTAGTCGATACTCTAGTCTATTGTCTAGTCTATAGTCTAGTCTATAGTCTAGTCTATAGTCTAGTCTATAGTCTAGTCTATAGTCTAGTCTATAGTCTAGTCTATAGTCTAGTCTATAGTCTAGTCTATAGTCTAGTCTATAGTCTAGTCTAGAGTCTAGTCTATAGTCTAGTCTATAGTCTAGTATATAGTCTAGTCTATAGTCTAGTCTAGAGTCTAGTCTATAGTCTAGTCTAGAGTCTAGTCTATAGTCTAGTCTAGAGTCTAGTCTATAGTCTAGTCTAGAGTCTAGTATAGAGTCTAGTCTATAGTCTAGTCTATAGTCTAGTCTATAGTCTAGTCTATAGTCTAGTCTATAGTCTAGTCTATAGTCTAGTCTATAGTCTAGTCTATAGTCTAGTCTATAGTCTAGTCTATAGTCTAGTCTATAGTCTAGTCTATAGTCTAGTCTATAGTCTAGTCTATAGTCTAGTCTATAGTCTAGTCTATAGTCTAGTCTGTAGTCTAGTCTATAGTCTAGTCTATAGTCTAGTCTATAGTCTAGTCTATAGTCTAGTCTATAGTCTAGTCTATAGTCTAGTCTATAGTCTAGTCTATAGTCTAGTCTAGTCTATAGTCTAGTCTATAGTCTAGTCTATAGTCTAGTCTATAGTCTAGTCTATAGTCTAGTCTATAGTCTCGTCTATAGTCTAGTCTATAGTCTAGTCTATAGTCTAGTCTATAGTCTCGTCTATAGTCTAGTCTATAGTCTAGTCTATAGTCTAGTCTATAGTCTAGTCTATAGTCTAGTCTATAGTCTAGTCTATAGTCTAGTCTATAGTCTAGTCTATAGTCTAGTCTATAGTCTAGTCTATAGTCTAGTCTATAGTCTAGTCTATAGTCTAGTCTATAGTCTAGTCTATAGTCTAGTCTATAGTCTAGTCTATAGTCTAGTCTATAGTCTAGTCTATAGTCTAGTCTATAGTCTAGTCTATAGTCTAGTCTATAGTCTAGTCTATAGCCTAGTGTATAGTCTAGTCTATAGTCTAGTCTATAGCCTAGTGTATAGTCTAGTCTATAGTCCAGTCTATAGTCTAGTCTATAGCCTAGTCTATAGTCTAGTCTGTTGTCTAGTCTATAGTCTAGTCTATAGTCTAGTCTATAGTTTAGTCTATAGCGTATCCTATAGATTAGTATTTTGTCCAGTCTATTGTATAATCTTTAGTCTAGCGGAAAATTAATTTAGTACTCTAAAACCTATAAAGTACTATTTTTGTTATTAGTTAGTACTATTGCAAAATTTCAATTTTCCATGCCTGCAGACAAATGTTTATTTTGCATTTTTTCTTTTTAATGTCTCTTTCGTTCGTTATATTATTTCATTTTAGGGGACACTTATTTTAAAACAATTTAATTTTTTTTATTAATTATTTATAAAATATTGTAATATTTATAAGTGTTTTATATATAATGTCTATACTATACTTTACATTTTTAGTATAAAGCTTTTCTCTTTTTTTTACTTTTTTTAATACAAATAATTATATAAGTTTTGTTATACATTATTATTTACTCTAATATTTGGCGTTGAAGAAAACCTTTTTCTTGTTTTAAATAACGCTTTAAAAATTTTCTTTTCTATACCTTTTTTGTTTTAAACTTATTTAACTTTTCATTATATATTTGTTTTGGATTTTTTAAATTATTATTTTTTCAAATTTTTTATTATTTTTTTGAATGTTTGTATAAGGCTTTAAAATAAAGTAAATTCTAAGATGTATAAGTGTGTGTTTTTGTTTAATTTTTAATAATTTTTTTTTAATATGAACAACATTTAGTTAAATAGAATTGTGCTTTTTTCCAAAAATTAAAAAAAATTGTAGTAGTTTTACTTTTTTACGAAATAAACAAAAATTTAGTAATTAAACAAACAAACATAAATTTCTAATAAATAAGTACAAGTTTTTTAAAGGCAAAAAATTATAAAATTTAAAAATTCTACTTTAAAATTTTTATGGGATTTAAAAAAAATGTAGTAGAAAATGTTTTAGTATCCCAGTATAAATGTATTATAGCATTTGATCTAGTTATAGATTTTTTTGGCCTAGAAGAATTTTACTTCAAGTTGCTAATAAAAAACTTTTCAATATCAAAATGTTATGAAATATTTCAAATTATTATTCTATAGAAGATTATGGCTCTGTTTCTTTTAAATGCGAATATTAAAAGTATAAAATAAAAAGGAAATATTTTTAAAAGAGAAATTTTCCGAAAACTTTCTATTAAAAGAGAAATTTCCCTAAAACATTCTATTAAAAGAGAAATTTTCCGAAAATTTTCTATAGAAAGAGAAATTTTTCGAAAATTTTCTATAAAAAGAGAAATTTTCCGAAAATTTTATTTAAAATGAGAAATTTTCCGAAAATTTTCTATAAAAAGAGAAATTTTCTGAAAACTTTCTATTAAAAGATAAATTTTCCGAAAACTTTCTATTAAAAGAGAAATATTCTGAAAACTTTCTATTAAAAGAGAAATTTTTCGAAAATTTTCTATTAAAAGAGAAAATTTTTTTAAAATTTTCTATTAAAAGAGAAATTTTCCCAAAATTTTCTATTAAAAGAGAAGGTTTCTGAAAACTTTCTATAAAAAGAGAAATTTTTTATAAAAAGAGAAATTTTCCGAAAATTTTCTATAAAAAGAGAAATTTTTTATAAAAAAAGAGAAATTTTCTATAAAAAAGGGGAAAATTTCAGAAAATTTTCTATAAAAAGAGAAATCTTGGGAAAATTTTCTATAAGAAGGGAAAATTTCCATAAATTTTCTATAAAAAGAGAAATTTTTTCTATATTATCTATAAAAATAGGAAATTTTCCGAAAGTTTTCTATAAAAGCAGAAATTTTAGGAAAATTTTCTATAAAAATAGACATTTTCCGAAAATTTTCTTTTCAAAAGTAAAGTTTTCGAAAAAGCATTTTTTCGGAAATTTTCTATAAAAAGAGAGAATTTCAAAAGTTTTCCTTAAAAAACAAAATTTCGAAAAATTTAAAATGTTCTTTAAGACAGAATCTGAAAAAATGTTAAAGAACATTTTGAAAAATTTTTATAATGAATATTTTGAATAAAAAGAGAAATTTTTTGAAAATTTTTTATAAAAATATAAATTTATGAAAAAATTGCTATAAAAAGAAATTTTTTGAAAATTTTCTTTAAAAAGAGAGAACTTCGAAAAGTTTTTTTTTAAAAGAGAGGTTTTGGCATATTATCTTTAAAAGAACAGAAAAGCAATGTTTTGTAAAAAATTGAGAATTTTGAAAATTTTCTTTAAAAAGAGAGAATTTCAAGAAATTTCTTTAAAAAGAGAAAGTTTTTCAAAATTTTTAAAAGGACAGTTTTACATAAATTCCTTTAAAAAAAAAATATTGAAAAAAAATTTGTAAAAAGAGAAATTTTCGTAAATTTTCTATAAAAAAAAATAATTTTGAAAATGTTTTGAAAATTTTCTTTAAAATTTTTTAAATAAAAAATAAATAAATTATAATTATAAAAAGTGATTTTTTTTATTTTTTTTTTAAGAGAGAATTTCAAAGGAAGAATTTTTCGAAATTACTATATAATTAAAAAAGAATTTTTCGAAAAATCTGTTTAAAAAGAGAGATTTCTTGAAAATTGTTATTAAAGTTGTTAAAACCAAAATCATTTATTGAAAAAAACCTTAACATACTCGAAACATTTTGGAATATTTCAATTTGTACTCAAAAAGAAAAGATTACAAATATGAAAACAGAGCTATAAGCAAGAAACTAAATACACATTTTATATAGAAAAAGGCAGAGTTGTAAAACATTATATAAAGAAAATTCTTATTAAAAATATGTTTAGCTAACGAGCTAAAGAAATTGAAAATTACTTTTCAAAAATGGTTTTCTAAATAAAAGTTTTTTTTTTCTGCAGGAAATCACTATATAGATATGGACGCATCTATATACAAATATTATATTTCATTAATTAAACATCATTATTAAGTTTTGTACAACTTTAACGTAATAAAAATGGATTAAACATTAAATATTAGTTTGCCTTAGTTACAAAAATATTTAGGAAAGAAAATTATTTACGTAAAATAATTACAATATTTATATATATTTTTTGTTCTAAAAATATACAATAAATTACGAACAAAAAAGGTAAATTAAAACAAAACCTAAATAATAATAAACTATATAAAAAAAATTATGCTACAAAAAAATTAATTAAAAGAAAATTATTAAAAAAAAACTACATAAGTGCTAGTGAAGAATTGCTCACAATAGAAATATTCTTTTTTTTGTTTTTGTTTTCTTTAACACAGTTCTACAGAGGTGATTAGATTAATTAAAATATTTAGTACTTGTTGCTACAAATGTGCGAATTATCATTATTTTTTAAATGAAAAAGAGAAAAATAAAAAAATATATATTTTATATTTGAAATGTTGTCTAACTGGAGAGTAAGCAAGAGAGAGAGAGACATATAAAAGATTCAAAGCAAACTTAAAAAAGTTGTTTTTTTTAAGAAAATTAAAAATAATTTTTGGTTTAGTGACAAAAACTCAAAAAGGGGAAAACCAAATTTGCTAAAGAGGGGAAAAGGTCAAACGAAAAAGAAATAAATGAAAAAAAGGAAAAGAAAATGTTGATACATGTCCTTATACCATGTATTCAATAGTCAAAATTTCAAAAGCAAAATTTGTTTTATGTTGTTGAGATTAGAGCACACTTAGTGCCCGATAATGGAAAAACTTAAAATATATAAAACTAGCAGCTGAGTTAGATTTAATGCGTACAACAATTTAGCCTTTTAATTTTAGGAGGCATTAGTAGCTGCTGCTGATGTTGACGTCGCCTGGCGATAGTAAATATTTGCCCCTTTAATGGGCAAAGGATGAGCCTCAGTATTAAATACCCATTCATCCAAGGGTATCAGTGAATCATCAGAGAATAACAGATACAAATACTAAAGAGTTTCGATTTTATTTTTAATATCAGAAAATATCTAAAGAAAAATCCAAATTCCACTTACCTTAAGGGTTTCAGCTAAAAAGAAACTTTGTTGTACATCATCTTTTTGTGGTACTTCTTGATAGACATTCTTAATGCCCGAATAACCGTGAGGTGTGCGACAATGTTGCTCTAATGCTTGTACAGCATCCCAGCCCCATTCACGATACTTTTGATCGTGTGTCAAACGCCAGAGCACAAAGTAACTTTCCACAGTTTCGGGTCTTAATATGTAGTATTTTTCATTCGATTTCAAGGCACGAGCCTCGGCGGCTTCACTAAAGCTATAGGAAGAAAGAAGAGATCAAATTAAAATGGAATTTTAAACTATTAAAGAGATTTCCTGAGAATTTTCCAAAAATTTTCTATAAAAAGAGTTTCTGAAAATTTTCGGTAAAATGAGGGAATTTCCGAGAATTTTCTATAAAAAGAGAGATTTTCCGAAAATGTTCTACAAAAAAAATTTCTGAAAATTTTTTATAGAAAGAGAAATGTTCCTCTTTTAAAGAGAACTTATAAATGAGACAAGGCGAAAAGAGAGAGAGAGAACTTCTCACTTTTTTAATAGAGAGAATAAGTTTGAATTTAAAAAAATAAAGTTCGAAAATTTCTATAAAAGAGAATATATTTCGCAAATTTTTAGAAGATATTAAGAGAAATTTTGAGAAAATGTTCGATTTTGCAAAATTTCCCTTGCGAAAATGTTTTATAAAAAGAGAAATTTTGACAAGAAATTGAGAGAAATTTTGAGATATTTTGAGACAAAAGAGAAGAGAAACATTTTTATAAACAGAATATTTATCCGAAAATTTTTTATAAAACAATAACTTTCCCTAAAATTCTCTATAAAAGAGAAATTTGCGAAAATTCTCTATAAAAGAGAAATTTGAGAAAATTCTCTATAAAAGAGAAATTTGCTAAAATTCTTTATAGAAGAGAAATTTGTAAAAATTCTTTATATAATTTAATTTGCAAAAATTCTCTATAAAGAGAAACTTGCGAAAATTCTCTATAAAGGGAAATTTGCGAAAACTCTCTATAAAAAGAGAAATTTGCGAAAACTCTCTATAAAAAGAGAAATTTGCGAAAATTCTCTATAAAAAGAGAAATTTTCTGAAAATTCTCTATAAAAAGAGAAATTTTCCGAAAATTCTCTATAAAAAGAGAAATTTTCCGAAAATTTTCTATAAAAAGAGAAATTTTCCGAAAAATCTCTATAAAAAGAGAAAATTTCCGAAAATTCTCTATAAAAAGAGAAATTTTCCGCTAAATTTTCTATAAAAAGAGAAATTTTACGCAAAATTTTCTATAAATAGAGAAATTTTCGCAAAATTTTCTTTAAAAAGAGAAATTTTCCGCAAAATTTTCTATAAAAAGAGAAATTTTCTATAAAAAGAGAAAATTTTCTATAAAAAGAGAAATTTTCTATAAAAAGAGAAAATTTTCTATAAAAAGAGAAAATTTTCCGAAATTGTCCAAAAAATTTGAATAAAAAGAGATTTCTTTTCTAGTACATTATCAACTTACCGGAATGCTTCTGGTCCTAAACGTGTAGTTGATCGTATATAACTTTCGTGGCAAGTATTCGTGATGCCCTTGCCAATATTCATAAACTTTTCAGTGTGTTCATTTTGTCTGGTGTTAGCGCCCAAAGCAAAGAGACCACCTGTAACACAAACAAGAAGCTAAATTTTTAAAACTAAACCCCATATTTCAATTACTCACCTGAAAAACAAGCTAAATGATCCATTTTATGTTCCAAACGATCGAATTTCAAATCGGAAACATAAGTCAAACCATTAGGACTAGTGCGTACCATTTTATCAATAATGGCAACCATGGCTTCATCAAACATTTGTCGGGCTTCTTCATCGGTTTGACCGGACTGAAGCCAGGCTTTAAGCAAATATTCATAGAAACTATCTCCCAAAGCACCCAATGACATGTGTACTAAATGAGAAATTATAGATTATTTAAGTTAAAAAAATATATATATATATATCATTTAACAACTTACATTGACCCCATTTACCAGTTTTAGGATTCAGAAAATTGGGATATAAACCTTTGGGTTTTTCGATCTCTTTCAATATTTGTCTAATGGTTTGTACTCTCTCCTTGTATAAAGGATTACCGGTAATATCACTTAAATAACTAAATTCTAAATGTAGAGTACCAAATTCAGAAAGTATAGAACTTGCACCGGAAGCCCAACCGTAATTTTTACTCAAACCAGTTTTAGGATTTACCAAACCATATGGTATACCAGTTGGTGTCTGGAAGGCAGGTAATAGTTTATCTGCTACATGTTGGGCTCTCTCCTTATAAAGATTATCACCCGTAAAGGCATACATTGTTAGGAGACCACCAATGAAACGTATATTCGTTTCAAATACCGATAAATCGGCACTAACATTGTCTAAGGTGAATTTACGTTCAATCCAATCTCTGCCTTCTTTGTATTCTTTCTCCAAACCCATTAGGTAGAGAGTGTCAAGGCCATCAATTATTGTGGCTCCTAGATCCATGGAGCCGAAAATACTACTACTATGGGCTCGTTGTGACAGCGGTCTCAGTTCGTTTTTGCCCCAGGCATAGAGTTTGTAATTTTGCCAGGCATGTTGCATCATCTGGAAATGGGAGAAAGGGAAATTTAGATTAGTTTAGATTTAGGAAAATATAAGAACTAAAAAAACTATGAATTTGAAACATTTCTTTAAAAAAGCGAATTTTGAAAATTTTTTTATAAAAAGAGAAATTTTAAATTTTCGATAATTTTCTATAAAAAGAGAAATTTTGCAAAAATATTCTATAAAAAGAGATATTTGCGAAAATTTTCTTTCATAAAGGAGAGAATTCAAAAATTTTCTATAAAAAGAGAAATGTTCGAAATTTTTCTCGAAAAAAGAGTGAATTTCGAACACTTTCTATAACATTGTCGATAATTTTCAATAAAAAGAAAATTTTCCCGAAACTATTCTACAAGAAGTGAAATTTCCCGAAATTTTTCTATAAAAAGATAAATTTTACGAAAATTTTCTATAAAAAAGAAAAATTTTCGGATAAAGAGAAATTTTCCGAAACTATTGTAAAAAAAGAGAAATTTCCCAAAACTTTTCTACAAAAAAAAAAAAAAAAAGAAATTTTTCGAAACTTTTCTACAAAAAGAAAAATTCCATAAAAATTTTCTACAAAAAAGAGAAATTTTTGAAAATTTTCTATAAAGAAGAGAAAATTCCCGAAGCTTAACTATAAAACAGAGAAATTTCCAGCAACTTTTCAATAAAAAAAGAGAAATTTTCCGAAATTTTTCTATAAAAAGATAAATTTTCCGAAACTTTTTGACAAAAAGAGAAATTTCCCGAAACTTTTCTATAAAAAGAGAAACTTCCCGAAACTTTTCTACTAAAAGGGAAATTTCCCGAAAATTTTGTATAAAAAGAGAAATTTTCAAAAAGTTTCTATAAAAAAGAGAAATTTTTTATAAAAAGAGAAGATTCCCGAAAATTTTCTACAAAAAGACAAATTTCCCGGAACTTTTCTATACAAAGAGATTTTCCCTGAAACTTTTCTACAAAAAGGGAAATTTCCCGAAAAATTTTTGAAAATTTTATATAGAAAAGAGAAATTTTCGTAAATATTCTATAAAAAAGTGAAATTTCCGAAAATGTTCTATAAAAAAGAGAAATTTCCGAAAATGTTCTATAACAAAGAGAAATTTCCGAAAATGTTCTATAACAAAGAGAAATTTTCGAAAATGTTCTATAAAAAAGAGAAATTTCCGAAAATGTTCTATAAAAAGAGAAATTTCCGAAAATTTTCTATAAAAAAGAGAAATTTCCGAAAATTTTCTATAAAAAAGAGAAATTTCCGAAAATTTTCTATAAAAAAGAGAAATTTCCGAAAATTTTCTATAAAAAAGAGAAATTTCCGAAAATTTTCTATAAAAAAGAGAAATTTCCCAAAAATTTTCTATAAAAAAGAGAAATTTCCCAAAAATTTTCTATAAAAAAGAGAAATTTCCGAAAATTTTCTATAAAAAAGAGAAATTTCCGAAATTTTTCTATAAAAAAGAGAAATTTCCGAAAATTTTCTATAAAAAAGAGAAATTTCCGAAAATTTTCTATAAAAAAGAGAAATTTCCGAAAATTTTCTATAAAAAGAGAAATTTCCGAAAATTTTCTATGAAAAAGAGAAATTTCCGAAAATTTTCTATGAAAAAGAGAAATTTTCCGAAAATTTTCTATGAAAAAGAGAAATTTTCGAAAATTTTCTATGAAAAAGAGAAATTTTCCGAAAATTTTCTATGAAAAAGAGAAATTTTCCGAAAATTTTCTATGAAAAAGAGAAATTTTCCGAAAATTTTCTATGAAAAAGAGAAATTTTCCGAAAATTTTCTATGAAAAAGAGAAATTTTCCGAAAATTTTCTATGAAAAAGAGAAATTTTCCGAAAATTTTCTATGAAAAAGTGAAATTTTCCGAAAATTTTCTATGAAAAAGAGAAAATTTCCGAAAATTTTCTATGAAAATGTCAAAGAGGAGAGAGAATTTCGATAATGTTCTCTAAAAGGCAAATTTTGAACATTTGCTTTAAAGAAAAGAGAGAATTTTTGAACATTTTCTATAAAAAGAGAACATTTTTCTAAAAAGGGAGAAATCGAAAATGTTCTCTAAGAGAGAATTTTAAAAAATTTCTCTAAAAAAAGAGAATATTGGAAAAATGTCCTAGAAACAATTTCTCTAAAAAGTGGAGAATTTCCTAAAATTAAATACCAAAAGAGATGACTACAAAATTTTTTCTATAAAAAAATATTTTTTAAGCCTTTTTCTTGAAAATTTTATATTGCAATTCACACATTAATTATTTTGTTGTTGTTATCGCTTTTAATTACAATTCAATTCCTCACACATGTTTTAACCATTAAAATTGCAAAATAATTTATATAAATTATTTACACATTATTTACTCGTTTCCCGCCAAGAATAAATAATTTATTGAACATTTGGTGCGTTAGAGTTTCTCAACATTTACATTAAAGAATAATTTGTATGCGTGGTTTTTTTTTTCCTTTCGCATTTCTTGAGAATTAATAAAAATTAATTGTCTTTAAATGGCAAGAATCACAGACTAGCCATACACTCACTCCATTATAGAACAGATCGTATGGAAACAAACACCCTTGACATTTTCTAGGGAGAACAGAACAGTATGTAGTAGATTAAGATAAAGTGTCCTCTGACAGATGATGGCAAATTGTTGTGCGTTGTTTTTTTTTTTTTTTTTATATTATTGTTGGAGCTGTGAAGATGCTACAATCCATTACGTTATTTTAATTACGCAGTCACGTAAATAAATACGCATTAAAATAAAAATAATCGAAAAAACGAAGTGTGGCATTGTTCCAGCATCAGACAAGAATAGATTACATACAAAAAAGGTTTGAATGGATGTTGCTATACGAGGGTTGTACAGCTGTAAAGTCAAACAGCATGCCAAAAACCTGAAGCCCCTTTAAAGCTCTTTATCTGGCATATGCGTGTTATACATTATACAATTGTAATTTGCCTTAAAGTTTAACTATTAACAAATTAAATTTAAATTTGTAGTTTTCAAACGCTACAACCCTCGCAGCAAAATATATCATTTCGGTATTCAGCCATCCATTCATTCATTCAATCCACAGATACATAAATGTTTAAAAAACATAACAATATACGTAATTGTGTTTGTTCATTCAAATGTGTGTGTGTGTGAGCATGTAAACATTAAAAAAATTTTCGAAAAAGAAAATACAAAAATTTATGGAAAACACGCAAAAAAGGCGCCTAAAAGTCAAAACACATGTGGCCTTTTTTCAATACTCTTCTCTTAATGGTAAATTTAATAGCTATACGATCCGTAAAGTGTTCCGACACAATGGTATCATCTATTCACACAAACATTAATGATGATGATGTTGTTTGTTGATTATTTTAATGATGATGATTTGTTTAAGATATTAATGGATTTCATAGAAACATTTATGAGAATGCGG